GAGACGCTATTGTTTTCTGGTATCGTGCGGAAGCATAGCTGCGTATTTTATTTTCTCTATTTTTTCTGAAAGATTTCTGAAGATTTCTGAGCACTCTTATTTCTTCCTCTTCTGTTCAACAAATCTTGCGTTTGCCGCTCTCCCTTTTCCAATGATTTTTTGCCGCAGGAAACAGTTCTTATTTGGTGACTAATGATGATTTGCACAAAGTTTTTATGGATGACATGTTTATCATCAAAAATTTTTACAAAAAGAAACTCTTAATATTTGGCATAAGCATAAATGAAAACGGCAAAGGATATCCTCGGTAGATTCTTGAAGAGAAAGGAAATGAGAATCCACAGAGTAGTGCTGGGACTTTTGTCATAAAAGCCGTGCTTTAGCCTTGAAGCTATATTGGAAACACCCACACTTCAAAAACGCATTTGTTCAACAAGTAGAGTGAAATGTGCATTGGCAGAAGCCTTTATTTGTTCTCATAGAAAAAGAGGACATTTCACAGACATTCACTTCCCAAACGGCATTATGAAACTAGTGTATGAATACGCTGCAAATGCTGGCATATTAGCGTATGTCAATGAAAATAGGCCAAAGATTGTTCCTGAAACACTCATTTTCGCAAAGCTAAAATGAACTGAAAATCTATCTGACCTTAGCTTAGAAAATTGAAAGAAATGTAATGGGACGCTCTGAATACATGGACATAAGAAAATATCTCAAATGGCGAAAGAATGTCTACACTGGACGAAGGAAGGATGTCTTTAGAATATATTCACGGAACTCACAAACTCTGACCGAAGATAGAATCTATGTGAACTAAGTAACTTTGAGAAAGTCCACTTTAGCAATTGCATATCTGAACTGCTAGACCAAGCATGACAAGTTCTTCAGGTCTCCCAGATAAGATTGTGTGATATAAATCTTTATAAAGCTAAATGCAACAGTGTATACTGAGTTCAGCTGAAATTGCTTCTAATCACATCAATATGTTCCAATAAAAATTTGTATCGTGAGAAGAGCCTCTACGAGTTGTGAGAAAAGGTTACTCAGCTCAAATAGAAAAAATAAACTTTTCTTAAGCTCACCTTGAATTCATTATAGTTGATATTCTCGAGAGCTGAGAGTTCATGAGTTGCCATGCTCCAAATTTCTGTCGTCGTTATGCATAGTGACCAGCGTAGATGGGGGCAAATCGAAAAAAGATTTTCAACGATTAAAATGCTATTGTCAATATGCTGATTGTGCTAACAACGAGACCTTTTATAAACCTTATCAACTTTGTAGACCATTAAGAGGTGGTTCCAAACATGTCTTGGGTTTCTGCGGAACGGCTCCCCGAAAGAAGCTATGTATGACTAAAAGTCTAAATTTGTCAAGCTGTAGGGGGATATTAGCGAAAGGCTGCATAAAACAGCTGGTATAAGGTAGGTCAAATCTGTACTGATATATTAGATAAAAGAAAGCAACATGGCCAGTGGAAATCCACATAGGTGTTTTGTACAGCTTCGCTAATTTTATGCCACTTAAGGCGGACAAATTTAGACCCGCGAAAACTCATGACTTCTTTTGGAAAGCTGTTCTGCAGAAAAAAAAGAGATCAGCGCTTAATGAAAATAATATAGGTTTTATGTGGAAAAGCCCTTCGATTAAAAGTGGTTCCTTTGTAAGCTTGACATTCAGATGATAGTGTCGGAGGCCACAATTTCAATTTATTCATTTTATCAGTTTTTATGGAATGTTTATCATCAAAAATTTTTACAAGAAGAAACTCTTAATATTTGGCATAAGCATAAATGAAAACAGTAAAGGATACCCTCGGTAGATTCTTGATGAGAAAGGAAATGAGAATCCACAGAGTAGTTCTGGGACTTTTGTTATAAAAACCGTGCTTTAGCCTTGAAGCTATATTGGAAACACCCACACTTCAAAAACGCATTTGTTTAACAAGCAGAATGAAATGCGCATTTGCAGGAGCCTTTATTTGCTCTCATAGAAAAAGAGGACACTCCACGGACATTCACATCCAAACAGCATTATGAAACTAGTGAATGCATTGCAAATGCTGGTATATTAGCGTATGTCAATGAAAACTGACCAAAGATTGTTCCTGAAGCAATCATAGATGAATAATTTCGCAAAGCTAAAATGAACTGAAAATCTATCTGACCTTAGCTCAGAAAATCGAAGGAAATCTAGTGGAAAGCTTCAAGGACATCGACATAAGAAAATACCTCAGATGGCGAAAGAATGTCTACACTGGAGGAAGTCTTTAGAATATGTTCACGGAACTCACAAACGCTGACCGGAGATGGAATCTATATGAAGTGGGCAGTTTCGAGGAAGTCCACTTTAGCAACAAATCTGAACTGCTAGACCAAGCATGACAAGTTCTTCAGCTCTCCCAGATAAGGATGTGTGATATAGATCTCTACAAAGCTAAATGCAACAGTTATCTAGGTTAAACTAAAATTGCTTCTACATCGATGTGTTCAAATAAAAAATTTATGTCGTGAGGAGCGCCTCTACGAGTTGTGAGACAAGGTTACTCAGCTCAAATAGAAAAACTAAAACTTTTCTTACGCTCACCTTGGATTCATTATAGTTGATATTCGAGAGCTGAGGTGTTCATGAGACAGTTGGCATGCTCCAAATTTCTGTCGTCGTTATACATAGTGACCAGTGAAGATGAGAACAAATGGAAGAGAGATTTTCAACTGTTAAAGTGCTAGTGTCAATATGCTGTGTGCTAACAACGAGACCTTTTATGAACCTTATCAAATTTGTAGACCATTAAGCGGTGATTCCAAATCTGTCTTGGGTTTCTGCGGAACGGCTCCCCGAAAGAAGCTATGAATGATTAAAAATCTAAATTTGTCAAGCTGTAGGGGGATTTTAGCGAAAGGTTGCATAAAAACAGCTGGAATAAGGTAGGTCAAGTCTGTATTGATATATTAGATAAAAGAAAGCAACATGGCCAGTGAAAATCCACATGGGTGTTTTGTACAGCTTCGCTAATTTTATGTCACTTAAGGCTTGACAAATTTTAGACCCGCAAACACTCATGACTTCTTTTGGAAAGCTGTTCTGCAGAAAAAAAAGTGATCGGCGTTTAATGAAACTAGTATAGGTTTTACGTAGAAAATCCCTCCGATTAAAAGCGGTTTCTTGTAAGCTTGACATTTAGATAGCGTCGGAGGCAGGCTCGGCACGAGCTGGCACCAGGAATTTTTCAAAACGAAGTCCCTCTTGACTTTTGGGAATTTTTACGAAGTCCCTTTGTCAGCGATATCCCTCCTAAAAAAGCCCCCCCCCCCCCAAAAAAAAACGAAAACGGAAACGTCGACTAAAAAAAGGTCGCCCTCGCCAATTTTGCGTATATCTTCGCCCATAAAAACGAAACCCCCTTTGCTTTTTCCCCAAAAACGATATCCAGCTTGCCCCGTGCCACTGGTGCCAGGCCCTGGTCGCAGGCCACAATTTTACTCTATTCATAAAATGAGATGCCCTGATTCTCTCTAGCTGTACGTCTAAAAACAGTCATACCACGACGAACAATGCTGTCATTGAGTGCAACCGATAAATCGTGATCAAGCTTTCACTACTAAACACCATACTTTTCAAATTTTTGCTCAAATATGATAATTCAGGATAATGTGATAGGAAATGAAATCATGCGAGAAAAGAGCTAGGTTGGATGGTTTACGAAGTAGCAAAACATGACCCAGCGATTTGAAATAAACACCATATTACCAACAAATGAGCAGCAGATTTGGATCTTCAACAACATGCAGAAGTAAATATTTGCTACTAGATGGTCATGAAGTTTTGGTCATTCTCTTTCAAAGCTCAAGGCATAAGTCAGACTAGCATATTGCCTCATTGTATGAAGCCCAAGAATAAACCTTATTTCTAGAGAAATCAGACTGTTTCTCTTCTTAGCAGGTTTAGGGTATCATTAAATAGAACGAAAAAAGCTCTACAAAATAATCACCAAAATCCGCACGTTGTAATCCAAGTGAAGTTTGGAGCAAAAACCGAGAAAAATGTTCATTGGGTTGGGAAGAAAAATCCTATGGATCTCAAACTTCGTCATTATACAGCAGACAAATACGACAGATAGCAGTACTCAAATATGCCTTCACGGGATTTTTTCCGCGCCTAGAAAGCGAGAAAGAAATAAGATAGTCAAGAAGTGGCAAACTCCTCCACTAGCGCCTTGTATACTACAATGTTTAGTAGGTATTACCTTAAAATCTTAGTCTGTTTGTGCTTTAGAAATTAGAAATAACAAAATATGAAAAACCCGAAAAAGTGACATTTTTGCATTTTCGAGCCATTCTAATTTCTCAATTCTGAGCCCCCGAAAGAACCCATCAAGTACCTTTTTGGGTACTACTATGTGTCTGCCGTATAATGGCCATGTAGGAAGTCCGTAGGAATTCTTCGGGAGAGTCCGATTTTCAGGGTGTTCGAAAATTTTGGACTTTTGATCCAAATTTTATATCGACGATTTGGACGGATCTTTGATGGTCATTTTATAGAGTTTGCTTCGCTCCATCGAATATTACTCTGAGCCGGCTAGAAAAACGAAAGCAGTTTGATTTATTCAGAAATACCGCTTACTTCTGGTGCAACCTAATATTTACAATCATAGAACGTAAAAGATTGGTTGGTACACCTAGACGAACACTGACTTATTGCTGAAGTAAGCACGAAAGCAGAAAAATTCCTATCCAACGATACCAAATCTGTCTCAAAACTCACTTTAAATGCAAGTAGCACAGATCAGAACTGCTAGTTTCACAGACACTCGTTTTCGTCCGAAAGTGCATGCATGACAATGAAAAGCTGCTAACATTTCAATCGAGGCGGTAAGGCAATTTCCAAAGGTGGATTGCTCTCTGGCTTCATTTTTTCAAAATTCGATGTGAACTTGGCATTGTCGGCACCTCTAGTGTCTGTATATAAACAGCATTCGGTGGGAAGAGCATCTCGGTGTGATGTTGCTCCTGCGTGAAACATTTGTGGTAATTTTATCAATTTTGACATGCCATTAGCTTAACAACGCATTCAGCTGTTCTGGATCATAACTCCTGCCTTCATGGATACTATCTGGTGTGATCAGGAGAATCAAGTGCCGGGGAAATGGATAAATCCCCTAATCGCAAAGCTCGAAAGCTATATTGCATGCGTGACTAATGATATCGTCCTCCCTTTGGTCTGTTTAATGTTTGTGCTGTCAATTTCTTTATCCCGTTTAGTTACAAAAACTTTTTAGCTTGTAAAACCGCACGTCACATCAGGGAGCAAAGTTAACTTCAATTAACACTATTCTTTTAGTATGAAGATCCTGCATTGGCAATCCGTGCCATGGAATGCGTTAAAGAGGGTGGTTTCACCTTAGAGAACCTCGATCCTGAAGAGGATGATGAGTTTTTTGATCCGCGTTGGGACTGTAAAACGGTTCTGTACCGGTAAGTAATTGTGGTGTACCACGATTTTTAATGGCTACGATTTTCCATTTAGGAGTTCGGATAGGCCGGAAACAGTTGCTGACAATTCCCTTAAAGAATTTTATCCAAGCTTATACAAGGTATTACATTTTAATTATTCCATCATTAGTATTCCATTGACTTCATCATGACAACACTGAATCAGACCTCGAAGTTAGTAAATTGTTTTCCGATAGCATAGCTGATATCAACATGTCAACTTCCTTTGAAGACACACTATTTGACGAATACATCAAAAAAAACCTGCAATGGAAAATAGCACAGCTTTTCCTGCAATTTTTTACAAAGTGACCCACAATGTACAAGCCTTATAATGTAGAACTGTATTAACTCAAGAGTGATTATGAATTTCAAGTAAGAAGAATGAATAACTCGTAAAAACTATTTTGATAGGACACAGTTCACATGGTTTTCTCAGAATCACAACCTAATGTACTTTGTTAAGAGCCCATGGAAAGGAAAAGTGTGGCCAATTCCTCAGTGCAAGAATACTACCAATTTTACACGCGTGGTAAGATTCTGAAATGCCAATCTTTCTAACAATAAGGCTTCAGTTGAAACCATTCTGATTTTGAAAACATATGTGCCTGGTAAAAAGCAGTATCTGCAATGGACGAAATTTTCTCCAAGTATTTAGACCTATGGCAGAGAAGGAATCGTTCAGCAAAATGCATAGTAGCGATTGGCGGCCGCCAGTCGTAGCGACTGGCGATCGCCAGTTTTAGCGACTACGCATTGGGTATGTATCGATTGGACATGTAAACCGTGCTAGCAATCGATAGCTATTTAATGTGGAGTCGCTAACTTTAGGCGATCGCAGTCGTAGCGATTTGCGACTGCCAATCGCAGCGGTTGGTCACCCATCCCATGCTCGCCTGCCTCAGCATTGCACGGTGAGCTTCGGAATCAACATCGCGCAAGTGAGAGAAAGACATATAGATAGAAGCCAGTGCGAGCCTCTCGAAGCAGAGGTGAACCACACAAAGGTGCTACCTATTGTTACTTGGGCTGAGTTTTGGGTGGGTCTTATGTCTTCAAGTCTGACAAGTTTTTATAAGGACGTAACTCATTGCTTTCCACCAGTGGCGTAGAAGGGAGGAGGGGGAAAGAGGGGGGGGGAGGATCCCCCTCCCCGAGATTGGGTCGCGAAGTTTTTGGAAGTTACTTACACGACTCTTAAAGAATGTGCAAGTGATCCATACTTGTAACTAAAATAAATTTTGAGTTTTCAAATTTGATTTAGCTTTATAAAAAAACTTTTTTGGAGGGTGGCCGGCGTCACGCACCTTCATCAGAAAAAATGTTTTTGTCGCTCCCCCCCCCCCCCCCTCCCGAACGGAAATCTTGGGTGCGTCTCTGCTTTCTACATGTAGGACCCTCGAACTCGCTACGTTGTCAGTGCTGTTACTCGTCTCATGACGAATAGAATGATGAAGACAAATTATTCCTAAAAATTGGTCGCAGTCTCCAACCACAGCCAAGCCCCGAGTCTCTGCTGCTGCCCCTCTGCTCGTCTGCTCTATTTCCTGCAAGCGATTGAAATGGTGTGAAGTATGCCCGAAGCGTAACGTGAGAGCAAGTACGTAGGCCTTTAGCAGAGATGCGATAAACAGAGCGACGCTTACTGAGATAGAAGCTGACACTGGTAAAGTGTTGCTCCTTTGTAGCTGAAGATGCAGTAAACAGCAGAAACTTTCAGCATTATCTCGGCGAAAATCCATATTATTCTGAAATGTAGCTCACTCTCTTCAAGAAAAGATTTTCTTGCAATTATTATATAGATGCAAATATGAATAACACAAAAATGATAGCACTGATTAGGATAGCACCTGTAACTCAAATGAGAAGCATACTTTTATGCGATCTCGATGGATCTCCAGCACTTTTGCAGAGCTTTCTTTCATTTAGCTATCAAGTGGTCGAATCATGCTTACCTTATACATCTAATTCATCGGAAAATAGTTTTCATAAACCTCAACGCACAGCAGACTTCGAGCGCACTACGCCGCGTTGCCGCTAATTGCCGCGTGCGCGACGTCGCATGAGCCATACCGTTGAACAGCATGATTGCATGATCAGTTCTCAATGCAGGCGAAAGAGGCTAGTAGAAACAAAGCATGAAATGTCATGAAAAACTTATGTGAATGGGAGATGTAATAAGCACTTTTTCCAAAAATTTCGCAAAACTGGTAAATGAAGATGTGAATTCAAATGGCTCCTTTGCAGCGCACAGATGACCATACGGTATGAAACTTGGTAGGTATTAGGTTGTAACAAAATTAATGCAGGTTTTGAATTCCAACCGCAATAAGTCATAACACTTCTCATTTCTAACTAGGTTGCAAAGTACCATTCGATAGAGCAAAGCAAGCTTTACAAGAAGGCCATCTTGCTTTAGCAACAACTCTGATCTACCACGAGTTTCGAGCCAAAAACTAAAAAGATTCAACTGTCCAAAAAATTGAGAAAAATCGTAAAGTTCATAAAAAGCCTACAAAAATTCTAACTTGCTCACGTAAACACTATTCGCATAAGACATCTATATACGCCTTTGCCGCATTTTTTCCTCTGTTAGAAATCAGGAAAACGGAAATTTTCGTGCGTTTGTCAAAGTGATGCTGTGCCGTTCCCACATACGTAGTTGTATACTACAAACCTGTAGAAGTATAAACGTGAAATTCCAGCTCTCTACAAGCTTTAGTTCTCGAAAAATATCGAATACAGTTTTCGCTAGTCATTTGGTCCAAGCTAAAATTCAAATTTCTCGAAAACTAAAGCTTGTAGAGAGCTGGAAATTTACGTTTGTACTTCTACAGGTAAAGTAGCATACAACTACTTATGTGGGAACGGCATAGGATCACTTTGGCAGAAACATGAAAATCTTCGTTTTCTTGGTTTCTAACCGAGAAAAAAATACGGCAACGGCGTACATAGATGTTTTATGTGGATAGTGTTTACGTGAGCAAGTTAGAATTTTTGTAGGTTTTTTATGAACTTTACGATTTTTCTCAATTTTTCGGGCACTCGAATCTTTTTAGTTTTTGGCTCGAAACTCGTGGTGGATCAGAGTTGTTGCTAAAGCAAGATGGCCCTCTTGTAGAGCTTGCTTTGCTCTATCGAATGGTACTTTGCAACCTAGTTAGAAATAAGAAGTGTATGACTTATTGCGGCTGGAATTCAAAACCTGCATTAATTTTGTTACAACCTAATACATGAACGCGGGCCTGCGGGGCTTATCCTAGAAGTTTCATTGAAAAATTATGTGAATAAAGGTTGTGGCAACTGGCAAACCGAAACTCCATCTCTTGTCTTTGTTAGAGCCCAAAATCGCATCAGCAGCCTAGCTTTCTAAGATGGAAAGCGCGCCCCAGTCAATCGATACGCGCGGGAATAGCGTCTCTCAGTCCTATGTACGACTGCGTTCCTTTGATATTTTTTCATTCCTTTATCATTTTCCTTGCTTATTCTTCTTCCTGTTTTCTATCTTGATACAGGTGAGGAGTGATTAGAGGAATTTAAGCATTTTGGGCGCTTTTGAGAACTGTTGGGGTCAAAGGGGAATTCATTTTGGAAAACCCCGTCTGCCCACCTCGTGCCGGGCCCTGCCCTATGCTTGTTAGAACCTTTCACTGTCCCAATGCTGAATCGCGTTCAAAATGCCGTCAAAGTTTCCTTTTCTCCCAGCAATTCAAAACATGCAGTTGCGGCTTTGTTATAATGTTAATCTTATACTTAAAGCTGAATGTCTGTTTGTCTATATGGCTGTGCGCATACCTTCGATAGTCTAGAGGCAGGACTTCAAAAGTGAAGGTTGAGTATGTGCCTTCCATAAAAAGTGAAAGTTGTTTTCATGAAATGAAGGAAGAGAAGATGCAAAACAATTAGCGAGGCAGTCACACGTCAGAAGCAACCTAGATTTTAATGCGTCCTTTGGATTTTTAACCCGTTGTACTCTCTGTTTCTGGCGACGTTAGCTTTGTTGTGCTCATAATCCTGAGCAAAATAGTCCCGAGCATGTAAGAAATGGTTGCTTACTCACTCCAATGAAGGCCTATGAACAAAAACGCACTTCTTGCAACTTTGTGCTACATATTTCCTTACAATCGAAAAAGTTAGCACCGCGATGTTGTTTGCATTATGGACGGATACGAGATCTATGAAATGCACAAGAAACCCGCTTGAAAAGAGCTAAATTGACGAAAAAACAAGGGATTTTCGAAAACACGGTTTTTGCCAGATGTCTCGTTCAAACCAGAAAATGGAGTTTTGCGACGTTGTCAATGTGAAAGTAGAGGTCGAGAGCTTCAATATGGTATACAGCAGTTTGCTAGGATTAAATTGAAAACAGCAAAGAAAAGGGTATTAAAGCCGAATGCCCCGCGCCCCGTGTTTGGGGTTGCGAGATAGCGCGCAACGCGCGGAGACGCAGACGAGCAGTGGAGACAGACCAGAGCCGACGGGGCATATGCCTCTGGTCGTAGATCACGAGATCTCAACGAAACCCTGCAACATTATATATCGTTTTGTGATCGTCATGGCACGGCCAGGAGCACGACATCAAAACGAGATAGACCAACATATTCAAGCGCAGTTTCTCGTTTTTATTGAACTCTAACAGCTTTCGTAAGCTTCTAAAACTCAATCGTAGTCTATAAAAAGGTTGGTTGAGAATTGTCTTCCTAAATTCTAGGAGAATTTCCTATTAAAAAACTTCTTTTTAGCAAAAAGGCTACAAAAACGCAATCTTTTTTCTGAACTTTTCGAATATCACTTACTGTACTTGCCTCGTTCATATTCACCTCTATATAGTTGTGTCATAATATGCGGCGCTTTGCCCGAGATTACATTTCTTCTTTTCTAAAGGGGAAGGTTGTGTTCTATCATGATGTCCAAAGTGAAGGTTGCCAGAGCACATGACTCTAGGTATCGAGTATACTTGGGACTATTTCCAATGATTATTCGATCATTCGAATTAATCATTGAATGCTAATGTTTCGAAAAGTCGAATATTCGAAAATCTGGGAATTCGAATAAAATTCGAAAGTCGAATATTCGAAATTTTCAGATTTCGAATATATTCGATATTCGAATATTCGAAAATTTCAACTTTCGAATATTATTGAAAGTCGAA